TGATCAAGTCACCTCCTCTTGAAAGGTTGCAAAAGGGTGAAGGTACAATCAATAAATGTGATGGAAAAGCCATTCCATCATGGTACAAAATGAACTCATCCAAGTCTCATCATCCCATAACTAGGTTCAATCTTCCATGCAACCAAGTAATTAGATTTGAACTTAGCATTAACTTCCAATAATATCCAATAATATGAATATCATAATTTTGTTCAAATCCAATTAGATGCCAAATTTACCAACAATAAAAAGTTTTTTAGACAATAATTAAATTCTTAACCTTTCATCACCTCTTAACATATTTTGGATAAAAAATATAGAATATGAGCAAAATAGGTACCAAAGATATAATAAATAGGGGTATAGAACAACAAATAACTCTAACAAAATGAGAGTTATCAGATATACAGAAAGAAGGGGATGAATGTATGTTGGATCTAAGGGATACAATATAATATGCGTTTTTTCTTGTTTAATGAATGTATTTGTTTACAAAGGGTAAAAAATGTAAAGAAAATTGGCTTAATGGATATCACTTTTCTTTTTGGGCTGAGCGAATAAACCTGTTTCTGAATACTGAATAAATACACATGTCATGCAACCAAATTAAGTCATTATCGAACAACCTTTACTGAAAAACAATCGGTAAACCCCTTGATAAGAAATAGTTTGAAAATATAATACTCTAATAAAGAAAAGGTATGCGATCGATTATGAACAAGTCATTAAAGTATAGGGACCAAAATTTATAATTTTTGGATTTTGTACTCATTATACTCGTGTCACCAAACCTCAGCAAAATCGGGAACACGAGGAAGAGGAAGACGGCCATGGAGGAAGAAGAACACGAGGTGTACGGAGGAGACATCCCAGATGTCGGTGAAATGGAAGGAGACGTTGATCCTCATCACGCCGATGTCGAGATGACTACCGCAGACGATGACGCCGTCAAGGTTTTCTGTTCATATATTCAAACTCGTAAACCCTAATTATTGGATTTGGGTTTATTTTCTAAATCGTTTTTTTATTTGTCTTTTTGTGTGGATTACTGCAGGAATTGGATGAGATGAAGAAACGACTGAAGGAGATGGAAGAAGAAGCAGCCGCTCTTCGCGAAATGCAAGCCAAAGTTGAGAAAGAAATGGGTGCTGTTCAAGGTCAAATTTCGACTCCTCTTCTGAATTTGATCGTGTTGTATCTAAATTTTTTGATTTACGCGAGTTTGTATGTGGATATGTGCGTGTTTTGTGTAGTAGGATGAACAAAAATACGTATTAGTCTAGAACCCAGTACAAGACATGACAAGTGTAATTGTATTTCAATTTATTCAAAAACTTGAGGACATGCCTATTTTTTTACAAATTTTTGTCTCTATAGAGTACAGGGTGATTCAGTTCCAAATAATGTTAATTCTTTGGAGTGATTTAAGTCGTTATCTTTTTGCTGAATTGTTTTAGAAGTGCTGTAATTTATTCAAGGTCTTATTTTGTTCAGAAACTGTTATTTTTATGGATCCAACTATCATAAAAGACTAGGACTCTGTATCATTGAGTGGTTTAAAAATGTTGGTACTACGAATAGATGCCATCTTGGAGAATTGCTTTGATGGCAACCTCTTTTAACTTACTTGACTTATTATACTGTTCCAGTGCATAGTATACGATGACAAGTGTTTTATTGAGTTTCTTGTCTCATTAATCTTAACGAGTAACAAACTGTTAAGAAATAATAAATTTTTTAACGGGCTTACGGAAATTGCTGCTTATTAATGTGGTACACTCTCGCATAGGTGTTACCTCTTTTCGTTTTTATTATGTTATTGGTTGTCATTTTGTGGAATTTCTAACTATTTGATTCTGGCCATCTACAGATCCTGCAAGTGCAGCTGCTAGCCAGGCAAGCAGGGAGGAGGTGGATACAAGGTCTATATTTGTTGGCAATGTAAGCAACATAAGCTACTTTTATCCAAATATTATTTGGCTCGTATTGTTGAAGCTTAGCTAGCAGTTCAACTTTTACTTTGTACTCTCCTGCGTAATTTGTATGTTCTCCTTCAACCATGTTAGGCTTCCTATTAACACCAAATCATTAATTCTGCATATATCTTTTGTCTGTAGACCTTTCCATCTACCTGATAGGGCTGATATTGTAGGCTTCCTTGAATGAGGATAGGAATTTCACAATCATCACTTTAAGGCAATGATATCAAGAAAACCTAGTAATGGAGAGCTTAAATTCGTTGGTTTTCATTTTTCTTGTTCGGCTATTATTTTTCCTTGGTCAATGTTAGGCTTTCTTTTAAGTTTTAGCACCTGCCACGTGTGTGTGCACTTTCATGCACATCTACTCATGAGGCCTCACATCTGTCTTTTGTCTGTTGCTGTTTTGACGTACCTTAGAGGTTTTTGTTATATGAAGATAGGAATTTCAAAAGCATTGCTTAAGTTGTGGACACCAAAAGCTTATCCATCTTTTCTTCTTGCTGCCTCCTAATGTTCTGTATGACCAAAAATAAAAATAGTTATGGTACAAAATCATTTGACCATTTGACTTATGGTGCTTCAATTGCTTAATGAGGTTTTCTCTTAAAAGCAAGATCACTCACCTCAAGTTTTTGCTTGTGTCACTGTTCATACTAAACTTTTGATGAATCAACCTCTTTTCTCAATCATCCAATTCGTTAGTTCTTTCTTATCTCTTTTTGGCTTGTTTGATGTTTCTCATCGTTTTTTGATGAATTTAACTTTTATCTGCCTGATCACAGGACGATTCCAATTTGTCTGTAGCATCAGCATTTTTCTTTTTACCGTTGATCAACATGGAAGTTGTCCGTTTGTGCATAAGCTTTCTTTTTCTGCTATTGGAATCTCCATGTTTCTGAAGTCAATGTAAAATAAGAGAGGTAGGATGAGGATGAAAAGCAAATAAAAGAAAAGAGGGAAAAAAATGTTGCACTCTCTTTCCACAAAAAAAAGAATAGAGAGGAAAAAAAGGAAAGAAAGAAGGAGAAAAAACAAAAAAAACAAAAAAAACAAAAAAAAAAAAA